GCCCGCAGCCGCCCGCACCGCTGCTGGCCGCGCGCCTGGGGGCGGTGACTGCGCCTGGTGACGTCGCGCGGCCCCACTTCCCGAGGGTCCCGGCGGCGGGGAGCCGCCCGCGGGAGTCAGTTAGGCGGCGGGAGCGCGGCGCGGCAGGCCAGGGCACTGGTCCGGGCCATGCCGAGGAAGAAGCCCTTTAGCGTGAAGCAGAAAAAGAAGCAGTTGCAGGACAAGCGGGAGCGGAAGCGGGGTCCGTGCGGGGCGGGAGGGGGCGGGGCGCCTCGCGGGAGGAGGGGTGTGCCTTCCGCTCGGGGCTTGGGGGCGCGTGCCGGCGCGCGTGGGCGGGCGCGGAGGGGATCCCCGCTTTGCCCTGCCCGCGGGCGCTTGGGGTGAAGGATGGCGAGTGGGGGATGGGAACCCCTCCAGCTCCCGCGGCGTCATCCCGGCACCCTAGGAGTCGCTGTCCCCCACGCACATCCGGAGATTTTTGGGGGGCGGTTGTAGGAGGAGTCTCGGAAGAAGTTGGGTGGCCCGCGGAGAGCCAGGCCCACTCGAGGGGGTCCGCTGGCCTGGAGAGCGGCCGCACTGGCGTCACCGGCCCCTCCCCGCAGGGCTTCAAGATGGGCTGCGCTCCAGTTCCAACAGCCGCAGCGGGAGCCGGGAGCGGCGGGAGGAGCAGACCGACACCTCGGATGGGGAGTCTGTGACCCACCACATCCGCAGGCTCAACCAGCAGCCTTCGCAAGGGCTGGGGCCGAGAGGCTACGACCCAAATCGGTGAGGGAAGGAGAGGACGCGGCCGAGGATTTCTCGCCCACCTGCAGCCTAGGGCAAAAACAGGCTGCCCCGGTGCAGGCTTCAGAGCAGAGGTGGCACGGCGCGGAGGCCATCCTCCTCCTCTAGGGCTGGAGGGAGTTTGCCTTTTGGAATGTCTTTTAAGGCCCAGGAGACAGCCTGCAAGGAATCAGGGGAGAAAGCTTTGTCAAGTTGTCTTGCCCCAGAAGGGGAAGATGGAGTTTATGGCTCAGGCTTCCGCTGGATGCACGGTTCCTGCTCCCTTAGGTACCGGCAGCACTTTGAGCGGGACAGTCGGGAGGAGGTAGAGAAGCGGAGGAAGGCAGCCCGGGAACAAGTGCTGCGGCCGGTCAGTGCGGAGGTGCTGGAGCTGGACATCCGGGAGGTCTATCAGCCTGGCTCAGGTGTGCTTGGGAGCAGTCTGAGGATGAGAACTGACCCAGAAGGAGGGCTCTGGGGTGCGCACTTGAATCCTGAAACTGTCACTTTTTTTGGCTTCTCAGTCCTGGATTTTCCTCGGCGTCCACCTTGGAACTACGACATGTCCAAAGAGCAGCTGATGAGCCAGGAGGAGCGGAGCTTCCAGGAGTATCTTGGGAAGATACATGGGGCTTACACTTCAGAGAAGCTCAGTCACTTTGAGCACAATCTAGAGGTCACAGTGGAATGGGAACTGGGGTGGGCCCTTGTGATCTGTGGGGAGATGGGCCTGAGTCAGGCTGAAGTGCCTCCCCAGCTTAGGCTCTCTCCCACCCATCTTACCTTCTCAGACGTGGAGGCAACTGTGGCGTGTGTTAGAGATGTCTGATATTGTTTTGCTCGTCACTGACATCAGACATCCGGTGAGTACTGGGGAGGACGATTGGAGAGGCAGGAAGGTTCTTGGGAGTCAGGGTCTCAGACAGGAGGTGGAGAGCAGAGAGGTGCCCTTCTTCCTTTGCAAACACCTGTGTCTACCCTGTGCTGCTGCTGTGGTTGGGAATTGCCTTTTATTCCTCTCTCATCGCTGCCCGTGACCTCTCCCATGGCCAGTTGACTTTCCCGCTCACTGTCCTTGGTGGAAGCCTGCAAGTTCTGTCTCCCTGAACCCAGCTCTTGCTTGTGCATGCTAGGGTCACGCTCTGTTTTCTGGCTGTTTCTCAGTCCTGCCCGTAGGACACTCTCAGGGACATGCGCAGGCCTTGCTGACACCACATTGCTGTCTATGCTCGGTCAGGCTGGTTTCCTGCATTCAGCCCAGAAGCTGCTGCTGCTTCAGCTGTACCTGCTGGTTGGGGAGCTCAGGACTGAGTTCTCTTTGCTCTTCGTCCTCCCAACCTCATTCCAGGTAGTGAATTTCCCGCCTGCGCTTTATGAGTATGTGACTGGGGAGCTGGGGCTGGCCCTGGTGCTGGTCCTCAACAAGGTGGACCTGGCTCCTCCGGCGCTTGTCGTTGCCTGGAAGCACTATTTCCACCAACACTTCCCTCAGCTCCACATCGTTCTGTTCACCTCCTTTCCTCGGGATCCCTGTGCCTCACGTGACTCCAGCAGTGGTGAGTGATCCACGAGGAGGGTCGGGTGGGCGGAGAGCAGGGTCCCTGAGTAGGCTGGTGCTGGGCGAGGTTGGGCACTGACCCTCTGTGCCCTCTGGTTGTAGTCTTGAAGAGGAGTCGCAGGCAGGGCAGAGGATGGACTCGGGCCCTGGGGCCTGAGCAGTTGCTGAGAGCCTGCGAGACCATCACTGCAGGGAAAGGTGTGTGGTCTTGGGGCTCAGGGAGGCTGTGGGGTGCGCCATTGTGTGGCTCAGCTTTCCCTGCTGCAGTGTGTGCAGCAGCCTGGTGGCACGGAGCAGCAGCACCTCTGGGGCTTCTTGCTGGCTGTCTGTCTTCCTGGTGTTTTGCAGAAACTGAGTGAGAAGATGCAGCTCAGGGCGGGCTGTCTGTGGTGGGGACAGTCTTGGGCGTCATCTGTGTGCAGCGGCGGGGGATCTCCTTCCTTTCTTTCTGAGCAGTGGACCTGAGCAGCTGGCGAGAGAAGATCGCCCGGGATGCGGCCGGGGCCACCCGGGGCAGCGGCTCTGGGGAGGAGGAGGAGGAGGAGGAGGACGGGACAGCCGTCCTGCTGGACCAACAGACCGATTCAGCCATGGAGCCAGCTGGCCCAACCCGGGAGCGCTACAAGGATGGGGTGGTGACCATTGGCTGTGTGGGTAAGGGCCAGGGAGCAGGGAGTGGGTGCGTGAGGGTCTAGTCCCTCTCCTCCGCAGCTGGCCTTGAGCAAACACTGGCCCTGGGCCTCTGCTGCTCCCGTGTGAGAGGGTGGGTTTTATGCCCATCAGCGCTTGCTAGTGTTAAGGGAGTAGTGCTGAGGGCCCCATGTGCCCGGCAGACGTGACAGCAGTAGCCACGATGACGGTGAACTGGAGCATCCCTGTGGTCCTTCCTGAGTGCCTACGCTGTTCTGAGGGCCGGGTGACCCTCAGTGGCTCTCAGTTATTCGTCCAGGGATTCCTAAGCCACAGAAGGGTTGTAGTGGGTCTTAACATTTTTCTGGGTTGCTGTGTTGGTTTTTTTTTGCTTTGCTTTGTGTTGCTTTGAGGTAGGTTTTCTGCTTCAGCCTCGGGTGCTAGAGTGACTGGCGTGTGCCAACATGTTTGGCTGGTTTTGAATTAATTGTGTAGCTCAGATTGGTTTCATACTTGTAGTAATCTTCCTGCCTCGCCTCCTGAGTGCTTGGTTTGGGGCTGGGGAGATGGCTCAGTAGAATAAGTGCCTGAGTTCAATCCCCAGTTCTGCCAAAAAAAAAAAAAATAAAAGAAATAATACTGAGTTCTTGGCTTAGGAGATCTGTTTTCTTGTGAGGATACAGTCATCCTCTGTCTCCTCTCAAGTGCTAGGATTACAGATGTGCATCCCTGTGCCAGGCTGAGTCTGAGCTGTGGCTTCCCGCGGGGAAAGCAGGGTACGTGGTAGGTCAGGTTCTGGGGCCATTTGTATTCTGATGTATGTGGTGGGAAGAGTCAGTCCTTGGCCGTGATGGTACCTGAGATGCTGCTGGAACTGAAAAGGGCATGTGCAGTGCTGAGGGTCCCTGAGGGTTCTCCCCATGTCCCTTGTTTTTTTTTTGGCAATACCAGGGATCAAACTCAGGACCTTGCACTTGCCAGGCAGGCGCTTACGCCACTTGAGCTACATTTCTGGCCCTTCCCTTGTGTTTTGTGACAGCAGCCTGGCTGGTGAGGGCTTCTCTCTCCCCAGTTTACCTAGTGTTTTCCCCAGCTGGTGGCTGGCCCAGCTCTCCTGCAGGGAGGCCTCTGCCCCATCCTCTGTGGCTCGGCCCGGGCAGCCCTGATTTGGCTTTCCCTCCACTCAGCGTGTGCAGTGAACAGATCTTTCCTGAGTGCCCGCCAGGTGCCTGCCTCCCCCAGAGTGGGAGGTGGTGCTGGGAACCCAGCAGAAAGCTGTCTGCATGGAGCGAGGAGGCCCATTTCCTTGTGAGGATGCAGATCTGTGATCTGAAGTTGGTGATGTAGTTGCGGGAAAGGGAAAGGGAAGGGGAAAAAAGGAAGGGAAGGAAAGGAAGCCATTGAGGGGTGGGAGGCCCTGGAGATAGGGGAGGGGCGCTGGCAGGCACCGGCCATAGCACTGGCTCCTGTGGCCACAATAGGCACTGTGGGTTTTGCTCTTGGTCTTGTGAAAAAAACATGGTGCGTTTTGAGTTTCAATTTCCGTTTTTAGTAGTGTGTTGTGTTTCCTAAGTGGAAGGGTGCAAGATGGGAGGTGGACAAGAACAGAAGCAGTCAGAGGCCACTCGGAGTGGGAAGGGAGTGGGCCGGTCAGGATCAGCATGCCTTGGGGAGAAGATGAGTTGCTGGCAGCACTGAGGGAGCATGTGGGCTTCTGCCCGGAGCAGCTGGGCCTGCTGAGCAGGTAGACTGGGCAAGAGGAGCAGGCCCAAGGGACAGGGAAGAGAGGGTGAGGCCTTAGAGCACTGCAGGCAGAGATGGTGAGCAGGTTGCAGGTGGAGGGTGGGGATCTGCGCTTCAGGGAGAGCAGAGGCCTGGATGTGTGCTTTAGAGACAGACATGCCATGGAGATCCCTGGGTGGACGGAGACGTGTCTGGAGCCAAGGCTGTGGGAGATGCCAGTGGCTCAGCTAAGCCTGTGTGTAGCCTTGGGCTGAGGAGAGGGAGGAAGGAGGACCAAGCAGTTCTGTGTAAGTGAAGTGAAAAAAGTGTTTTCAGAGGAGAGGTGGTCTCCAGGGTCACATGTGGCTGCCAGGCTGAGCAAGAGACCAGGGTTGCTTAGCAGGCGTGGCCCTGGAAGATGCGCAGCTCTGGAAGATGCGTGGCTTGGAGATGGCGCCACCTGGGGGTGCTCGTAAGGAGCTGCAGCCGGGGAGATGGCTCAGTAGATTGAGCGCTTCCCTGGCAAGCGCAAGGACCTGAATTCAATCCCTGGTTCCACCATTAAAAAAAAAAAAAAAAATAGGAGCTGCAGCGTGGCAAGATTCCTTCCACGGGCTTTTATTGATGTAAAGTTCAAAGACTGCACGATTAAACTGCATCTACATCGGGCTGCACAAGTCATCATCAAGAAAGGCCAGCACACAGCCGCAGGCGGAGGGAGAGGGTGGGGCTCTCAGGAGCGCATCCTGCTCCCACTTTCGAGGATTCCTTGGACTGCACCTTTGTGTGTCTGTGTGTGTGAGAGAGAGAGAGTGGGGGGGAGACAGTATGAGGCAGTCATGACGCGGAGGTTGTGGCGGAATCATGAAGTCCTTCTGCGTGCCTGTGTGCAGGGTCAGACGGCGCAGGGCAGCAGTGTGAGGCACGTGCTAGCTATGCCCAAGCCTCGCCTTTAGGCCCTTGTGCTTGCCAGGGAAGTGCTTATTCCACTGAGCCATCTCACCGGTCCCTTTTCTTTTTTTTTTTCTGATCTAGGAAATTATGTTATGCCTGAGACAGGAAGGGGCTTTTGGGCCCAAGCGAGGAGGATGTTTCCTCTCCCTGGCCCTCCTTGTGGAAGCACATACATTCAGGGGTGTGTGCCTGTGCTGAGCACAGCTGAGCTGCGTTTTCCAGTGTTGGGGTTTTGCGAGGGAACCCCAGCTCTGAGGCTGGGACTGCAAGGCTGAGCTAGGAGAGTCACAGACTTGAGTCACCCTGGGTGGGTGACATGGTGAGTTGGAGGCCTGTCACAGGCTATGCAGTGAGACCCCCGTGTCAGAAAACAAAAGGGGGAGCAGGGCCTGAGTTTAGAATTGGATGGTCTGTAAGGGTCAGTGCCGTGGGCATGACGAGGCAGGCAGAGCCAGGGCGAGCCACGAGCTCTGAGGCACCAACGTGGGTGGTGGTGAGTCGCTGCAGGGCTTGGCTGGAAAGAGGCCCTGGCCCTTCAGGGAGCACGACAGTTGTGGGAGATGTAGCAGCCTCTCAGGGTGTGCTGACCTCCAGAGCTAGGCGTGTGTGTGCCTTCTCTGAGGTGAAGAACAGGCCCTGCAAGTCACGTAAATCACCTCAAGATAGCTGGGGCGTACGTAGCCCAGGTCCTGATTGGCAGTTTGCAGTGTTAAGCCGCGTCCCCTCCCTCCATTTCTGAGCCTCAGGTCCCGCTGGTTCAGGAGCTGGGCCCACACTCATGCCTTGACTTCCCCAGGTTTTCCCAATGTGGGCAAGTCCTCACTCATCAATGGGCTGGTGGGCCGGAAGGTGGTGAGTGTTTCCAGGACGCCCGGCCACACCCGGTACTTTCAGACCTACTTCCTCACTCCAACCGTGAAGCTCTGTGACTGCCCAGGCCTCACCTTCCCCTCCCTGCTGCCCAGACAGCTGCAGGTGCGGCTGTGGTGTAGGGCCTTGGGGGAGGGTGGGCCACAGGGGTGGCCTGGGCTGGTGCTGAGCGCTGTTTCCTGCAGGTCCTGGCTGGCATCTACCCCATCTCACAGATTCAGGAACCTTACACCTCTGTGGGTTACTTGGCCTCACGCATCCCCGTGCAGACCCTGCTGCACCTGCGCCACCCGGAGGCTGAAGACCCATCCTCCGAGCACCCCTGGAGTGCCTGGGACATCTGCGAAGGTGCACCCCGCATGCTGGCCCAGCCTCCTCTACCCTGTCCTCATTTTAGACTCGGCCCTCGGCAGAGAAGCTGGTCACAGTCCTCTAGGTTGCCACTGCCGCTGGAGTTGTGGCGTGTTTTGGATGAGGCTGGGAGGATGGGCGAGGTGTCCCGGATCTAGGCGTGCCCTCCTAGAGTCCTTTCTCCCTGCAGCCTGGGCCGAGAAACGCGGCTACAAGACTGCCAGGACAGCCCGCAATGACGTGTATAGAGCAGCCAACAGCCTGCTATGGCTGGCCGTGGACGGCCGCCTCAGCCTGTGCTTCCACCCCCCAGGCTACAGTGAGCAGAGAGGTCAGCGCCTGGGGTGGCCCATGTGGGAATGGGGGTCATCTGGGCTTCCACTCCTGCGCCTTTTGCTCAGGTGGTGTCTGAGGGCAGAGGGGGTGCGATCCACGCCCCGCACACATTTGGGCTGTGACGCTGAGGTGGTGTGCTGCTCCGCATGGTAGAAACTGCTCTTGCCACCCTGGCCCTTGCTCAGTCTCCTCTCCTCTCTGTGCAGGCACCTGGGAGTCTCATCCTGAAACGGCAGAGCTGGTGGTGTCACAAGGCAGGGTGGGGCCAGCGGGCGATGAGGAGGAGGAGGAGGAGGAGGAAGAGCTGAGCAGCTCCTGCGAGGAGGAGGGCGAGGAGGACCGGGATGCGGATGAGGAGGGAGAGGGAGATGAGGACACCCCGACCTCGGCGCCAGGGACCGGCCTGGCCGCCCACAACCCATACACCCTGCTGGGCGAGGATGAGTGCTGAGCACCTGTCCCTTCCCTGTGCCCGCCTGCCCACCTGCCCGCTGTGAATAAAGGTGGTTGCTGTAGCCCCTTCCCTGTGGCCTGAGGCGAGTGGCTAAGCGGAGCTGCCCGCTTTGGGAGGCTTTTCTCTTCGCCCCTCTGTCCCTGTCCATGCTCTCCTAAGGACTCTCTTCTGGGTAAGGTAACTCAGTGGGCACCCAGCTCTGCCCACTTGCCCACCCCGGACCTTAGGACCCCAGGGCTGGCTGGGGGTGCAGCGCATGCCTGGATCGAGCAGTGGCTGCACTGTGCAGCCAGACCTGGCTGTGCTAAGTGGGAGCCGTGTGCTGCGTCTCAAGCTGGTGTGTCCAGTCCAGCACTCTTCAGATTGAGTGATGCTGAGGGTCTGCCGGGCATCTGGACCTGTGCGTGTGGAGATGCGGCCTGGCCTCAGCAAGATGTCATCGGGCACCCAGGGTTTCGGATTAAAGCTGTGTAACGGTCTCCACGTCCTAGAGCACGTGAAATACAATTCTAGGACTTCCTGTTGATAAAAATTTTTAGTTACAGAATGCTTGTGCAAGTCTTGGTTGAATGTGTCTGAGTAGGGACTCAGTGACTGGCAAGAGCTCGCAGCACACTGAGGAGCAGAGCCGCCTCGGTGCAGGTGGGAGCCGGGAGCCCAGAGCACTCACGTCTGGGCCAGAGGCAGGTGTGGGCTGGAGCACCACAGGGCCGGCCTGTTTCCACAGTGCCTCCTCAGGAGTCGGGGTTCCCTGGGCCTTCCTGCCTGGACGTCTCTGGTCAGGTGGCACTCTCAGGGCTCTGGCAGGTAACACAGAGGGCACCTGCTCTACCAGTGGCTGTGCAAGTCTGGTGAGCTTGCCCAGGACAGGACGACCTCTGGGTGGAGAATATTCAGCCTCTGGAAGGGCTCCTGTGTGCTGGAGCAGAGGGCAAGCATGCTCCCATCAGGCTGCTGAGCTAGAGGGCCCAACTGAGCTGCTTCGTCCTCTGCTGCCAAGGTCTGTGCAGGAGACCTCTTGCCGCAGTTCCTTGGGTTCTGGGGCAGAGGTGGTGGCAGGGTTTTTTTATTGTTGCAATACAGGGGACTGAACCCAGGACCTTGCGTCTGTCAGTCAAGCACTCATACTGTTGAGCCATCTCCCTAGCCCGGTGGTTAGGGTTTAAACTGAAGACCCAGAGGGTCTCTGGCTCCCTGGCCATGTAGAGGAAGTGGCGTAGGAAGGACCTGTCTTGGATAGAGGGATGAAGGCAGCACCGCGCTCCAGCATGGAAGTCCAGTCCAGTCTGTGCTCCTTCTGAAACAGCTGAGACCTCAGCTTCCTCTGAGCCCTGCTTTTCTGCACTGGCTCAAGTTCAGGTTCTAGAACAAGTACTGTGGGCTCGAGCAGTTCTGTTATCTGGGGCTTCTGCGTCCATATTTTCCCCCCAGCACTGGGGATTAAACACTTCATTAGGGCCAGCCAAATAGCTCAGCATATTAAAGCACCTACAAGTGGGGGCTGGGGTTTGATCCCCGGGCCTACCGTGCCTGTCCCACCTCTGGGGCATGCTGAGACTGTGGTTGAGACTGGGCGTGGTGGCACACACCTGTAATCCCAGCTCTTGAGAGGCTGTAAACAGGATCACTGAGGCTGATCTAGGAGGGAGACTCTGAACACCCTGTAGGCCCTTCCCTAAAATACAAAAAACAAAACAAAAAAAACTTCACTAAACTACATCTCCAGGGACCTCTCCCTTTTTATTTTATTTTATTTTATTTTTTGTGTGTGTGTGTGTGCATGTGTATGTGGAGCCGGGGATTGAACTCAGGCTCTGGTGCTTGCCAGGCAGGAGCTTATTCAACTGAGCTATCTCCCCAGCCCCTCCCTTTTTATTTTTAAACAATTTTTGCAGAACTGGGGATTGAACTCAGGCCCTTATGCTTGCCAGGGAAGCGCTTATTCCACTGAGCCGTTTCCCCAGCCCCCTCTTTTTTTGTTTTTCTTTCTTTTTTTTAAATTATTTATTTATTTGTGTGTGTGTGTGTGTGTGTGTGTGTGTGGCCAGCTCAGCCCACCAGGGGGCGGGCTGGCTAGCATGTGGTGCTGGGGGATTGAACCGCGGTCCATGTGCTTTGCTAAACTTGTTCTAAGTAGGTGCTTTAGACCACTGAGCCATCTCACCAGCCCAAGTTTTTTGTTTTTCTTTTGCGGAACCAGGGATTGAACTCAGGCCCTTGTGCTTACCAGGCAAGCGCTTATTCTACTGAGCTATCTCCCTGGCCCCGCCCTCTTTAAAAAAAATCTTTTTTTTTTTAAATTTTATTTATGTGTGTGTGTGTGTGTGTGTGTGTGTGTGTGTGTGTCTGTGGCCAGCTCAGCCCACCAGGGGGCGGGCTGGCTGGCATGTGGTGCTGGGGGATTAAACCGCAGTCCCTGTGCTTTGCTGAGCTTGTTCTAAGTAGGTGCTTTAGACCACTGAGCCATCTCACCAGCCCCAATCTTTTTATTATTTATTTGATACAGTATTGTTACACAGCTCTGACTTGTAGTGATCTTACTGCCTCAGCCTTCCCAGCACTGAGATTACAGGTGTGTGCCACTACGCCTGGTTTTGGATTGCAGCTCAGTGGGGCTGGCACAGCATGGGGAAATACTTGAACCTGGGTCCTTGCACTTGGCAGGCCGGTACTTAGACCACTGAGCTATCTTGCTAGCACTCCCTTTTTATTTTGACAGTCTCAAAAGTTATCGAGGCTGGGGGGCGGGGGAGATAGCTCAGTAGAATAAGCGCTTGCCTGGCAAGTGCAAGGGCCTGAGTTCAATACCCGGTTCTGCAAAAAAAAAAAAAAAAGCAAGGCTGGGCTCAGACCTGGCCTGCTTCAGCCTCCCCGAGTGCTGGGGTGACAGCTGTGCGCGCCCATGGCAGGTCCTTCCTTTCTTACCATCTTTGATATAGCCCACAGAAGTTGATTGAAACAGGGCATGTCAGAAATGCTGTGTTCTGGGGGAAAAAGATAAAGCTTAGACCCTGCCCTCAGTGGAGCAGCTGGTGACGCAACGTAGTAAAGTAGCAACTGGTGTGCCCTGGAGAAGTGGGAAGGACTCTGGCTGTGCCCACCGCCGTGTGGCCGTGCGCAGGCAGTTACATCTGGGTCCCCCCTGAGGCTTCCTGGCTGGAGTTTGCAATTGATGAGAAAACTAAACAGTTTAAAGAGTGCTCGTTGCTGGGGCGTGGACAGGCTGGACCCGACCAGACTGGGGTGCTGGCCTAGGTGGGCGGCTGGGGCTACCCCTTGGGGGTCAGAGCCTGGGCTGAGGCCAGGCCTGGAGGTCGAGGCAGCAGCAGGTCACAGGAGACTGCCTGCAACCGCGATGAGGAGACCCAGGCAGCAGGCAGGAGGGGCTGCAGGACACAGGGGGCCTCACGGTGCCGGGTGTACTTGGCAATGGGAGCTGTTAATGGAAGATTTAAAGAAGTACCAGTGTGCTGGGGTGCAGTGTGGGGGCAGAGAAGAGGCCTTGCCACCACACAGAGGACAGGTAGGAGTGAGGGAGGGGCGGGTAGGAAGAAAGTAGGCTTTTTTTTTGGCGGAACCTGGGATTGAACTCAGACTCTTGTTAGGAAAGCACTTATTCTACTGAGCCATCTCCCTGGCTCCGAAAGTAGGTTTTTTAGTTTTTATTTTGTGCTGGTAGAAGCTAGAACTTGCATCCTCAACCTCACCCACCCCTTTTTTCTTTTGTAGTTTTAATTTTGTGACGTGGTCTCAGTAATTTTTCAGGTTGCCCAGGTTGGGCTGGAACTTCAGATCCACCTGCCTCAGCCCCCCAGAGCGCTAAGCTTCGGGGCAGTGAGCAGGTGGCTTATCTGTGGTCTCAAAGGCGGTGTGTGGGCTGCGTGGAGAGGAACTTGGGTGGAGCCCACGCCACATCGTCACAGTGCTGCTTTTATGGGCTGGCGGGTGGCAGGTGGCATGGCAATGGCCAGAGCTCCTTTCACTCTACCTCTGCTTTCTGCTGGCTTCTCGTTGGTCGTGTTTCTTTTTCCGTGGGCTCCTGAAAATGTCATGGACAGCACACATGTCCACGGACGAGAAACAGCAGCTAAGTGGGTAGAGGCGGAGGCGTGAAAATTGTCAAAGAAAGAGGACAACAGACACCCAAACACTCAACTGTGGATTAAACAATCCTGACGTTTTGCAGTATTTGCCTCATTAATCTCTTCCTGTCTTGACAGCCATTTATATTTTTGGTCTACTGATGTTTTCTCCTTTTTAAATTTTTATTTTTGAGACAGGGACTCTATAAAGTAGTTCAGGGGCTGGGGAGATGGCTCAGTAGAATAAGCACTTCCCTGGCAAGCGCAAGGGCCCGAGTTCAATCCCCGGTTACACACACACACACACACACACACACACACACACACACACACAGGGAAGGATCTATAATGTAGTTCAGGCTGACCTTGAACTCAGTACGGAGACCAGGCTGGCCTCAGCCTGCCCAGTGCTGGCATTACAGACATCTTTGCTGTTTTCTTACACTGCTGAGGCTGAGCTACACGCCAGGCCCTGTCTACTTTTTCTTTTTTGAACCATTGGAGAGCAAGTTCCAGACATTATAACCATTCATCCCCACATAGCTCACATCGACCTCTAACATAATCACAACAGGCCTGGCAAATCTAATGGTTAATTCCCAGTATCACCTGACCTGAACCCATACTGAAGTGTTCTCAACAAATGCCTTTTTATAGCATTTTTTATTTTTCCCAGTTTTATTAAGTTTTAAACTGTCCACAGCTTTAGGGCTTTTTGTTTTGTTTTGTTTTTGTGTTTTAGGGAATGGTCTACAGGGCGTTCAGGGTCTCACTACTAGATCAGACTTGTAGTGATTCTCCTGTTTGCAGCCTCCCAAGAGCTGGGATTACAGGCCCGTGACACCACAGCCAGTCCCAATTGCTGTCTCCGTGTGCGCTGGGGGTAGGGCCAGTACTTAGTTTTAAATAGAAATAAAAATATGTATTTACAATATACATCATTATGTTTTCAGATACAAGATTTAAAAAACTGGCTCCA